TCTTGGTTTGCCACTGTGCCATTCGGAAATCCTCTCCCTACTGTGTTTCTCCGGTCGGTGCACCAATCTGGGGTTTGCCTGTCTTCCATTAGGTTCCTCTTGGTTTTCTCTAATTTGTAGTAAAATTAAAATATGAGATTTTAGTAATTGGGTTTTGTTTTTAATTTTTTCTACAATTTGGTATTTGGGGTTAATCAATTTAAAGATATTTTGTCATTGGGTCATGATCAAATTGATTAAAAGATCACGGGGTAAAATCGAAACCATGGAGGGTGGGGGTCTGTTGACAAAAAGACTGTGCATGAAATCTGTTACATACAAGTTCTTCTCCCACGTATTTCATACAAAGAGTATAGAAGACATCCCTAACAAACTACTTCAAGGAGCAATGTATTGTAATAAATCTAGTTGTGACGGGTCATCGTTTCCTATCATGTGAGTGAAATGCAGAAAAATAAGGTATGAAACCCGTTACATGCAAATTTTTCTCCTGTATATTTCAGGCATAAAATACAATGAGAGTGAGAGCTGCTGCAAATATTTTTATAAGTTAAGCACGCGCAAGAACTATAACGAGGCAGGTAGGATTTCACTCAACATCTCCCAGCTGAAAAGTCAAAGCCTAGTCAAGTCGGCACTTGACCGTTCCATACCTTCTTTATTTCTAATTTAAAATTGTAGTTTTATCAAATCGGCATTAGTATTACGGTTTAGTGATATTATAATTTAAAATCATTTTAACAACTAACAAGTGCCTAGTGGTTAGAGACGAATTCTTTGTCCGTATTCTACGCTTCACATCCTGAGTTTGATTCTTAATGCTAGTAAATTACACGGTACTAGCTAGAAGGAGGCTGAAATATCTCTATAAGTCTCTTTCCATTTCCCGAAAATGTGGACTTCTGGGACAGAACCACTAACTGATCGCCTCTTAAGAAGAAAAAAAAAACAAACAAACAAAGAAAACCACATTAAACAAGGCACCACCCGCTTTCAACAATACTGTGCCAAACTAGTAGTTTGTAACCTAGTGCCATGTATAGGAAACCTAATGAAAAAGTCTTGAAAACTTTGAGTTTTAATGATAAGGACAAAATAAAGGGTAAAATAAATAGTGTCAAGATTGACTTTTTTAGTGTAAAAATATGATTTTTCGTTGAAGTGAATGGTACCGTAGGTCTTTCGTTGAAACTCCCTATATATATTACCATGCATGGTACGTGCAATAGTACTTTACAAATCACTTAGAATATTTCTTATTTTTTGCATGGAATAAAAAACAATCGAAACAAGAGGTGGAAAGTTCTTCCAAGTTGCAAGCATGTTTTAAAATTTGCAATTGACTTTTCCAAGCTTTTGCCTTTGGTGAAAACAATCTTCAACCCACCACTTCACCTATTTGGTCTAAACAAAGACCGACCGTTGATCAACTCGTTCATGTTCAAACAAAAGAATTGGACGAGGGTTGGAGAGAAATTCCAGTGAGTGCTGGAGGAAAAAGCCAAATGGGGAGGTGAAATATTGATGTTGGAAAAAGCAGAAAAAAAGGGGAAACAAGCGGCATGCTTTCTTTGACCTCGAATCAGTTGAAAATTCGATATTCAAGGTTCTTAGAACTTTCCCAGTCCATTTTGCATCAAAATAATCGACGCAGCAAGCACCACAGTGTTTGTGTTGTCTTTCTACCAACTACCGTTCAGGACCTTCAGGTCATATAATTAAAGGGCAATTAGCTATATAAACATATTTTAACATTTTCTTGCATAAATATTAGTGTTTATTACGTCATTATTAGGGGTAAGCATGTTTACATGAGTCAATCACTCAATCCGATCCAACTCACCGAATCGAAGTGGGTTTGGAATAGGTCCGTTCACTTGTTTAATTCAACAAAAGGAATTTTTGCTTGAATATCTTGTCGTCCGTTTTTTGTTTAGGCATTATGCGATTTAGAACTTTCACAATCCAACTAAACCGACCCATCCATCTAAGGCTATTTCCATCTCAAGGATCTAAATTCTAAAATTTAACCCGTATTTTCAACTATTTATCTATACGTATGAGGTCAATCATTTTTGTCCTCTAATAGTAAGAGACCTATGATTCCTACCCCTACCTTTATAAATTGTTATATTTTTGTATTTTGTTGATTTTTGTGGTTAATAATTTTGGAATTAGGTTTTGTACACTCCATCTTGTTTAATCTTTAGGAACATTTTGATGTAAAAAAAATTCAAATTAAAAAAAAAATTATGTTAAAAAATTCTAATTCTAAACAAATGGAGGGATATTTATAGAGTTTTGGTGTCAGGTCTGATTTGGATTTATTAATAATATTACTTTGACCATTGTATTAAAATATGAGCCGTTGTTATTTTTGTTTACCGTAAAAATTGATTATATTAGATTTGAGCAGTTGGATTTAAAATTGATTAAACTAACGCAACTAGACGCGCCACACTGGATCAAAACCTAGAGCGTGTGCAAGCCATTGGATCCCAACGACACTTTAATCTAGGCCGTAGAAAGTGGCCTTCCATGCGCTTGCCCACGCAATCCTCCTCGTTGAGGCTGCTGATTCGTGGGGCCTCCTGTGTCTGTTTGCAACAATGTATCGTTTGGTATGCAGACGGGACGGGACGAAATGAAATGGGATGGGACGGGATAGGGCGGAATGAAACGGAGCGGGAGCAAAGATGCCCTTTGATGGAAACAAGGAGGAAGAAGAAGGAGACGGAGAGGTTATAATTTTGTGTTCCACAGATGTGGAACGAGTCATTCCAGGGGGTGAGGTGGAACGAAAATTCACTCAAAACTCGTTCCGTGGAACAGCTCGTTCCACCCGTTTTAGGCGCACCAAACGTGGGATGGAACGCCTTATCCCACTCTGTTCCGTCCCGTCCCACGTACCAAACGGTACCTAAGTGAAACGTGGGTCCTATGGCCAAGTTGCAATCTTATCATCTGGGATGGGTACTAATCCCAAGTTCTTATCTCCAAACCCATAATTCCCACCCAAAAATACGCCTTAGAGGGGTATTGGGTCTAAATTGATTTTTTTTTTTATTAGGAAAACTGATATGAAAAGTTTAAATTTTGTTTAGTTTTAACGAAAGATGACAAATAAAAGCGCAATGAATAATATAAAAAAAAAAAGTAAAAAATATGATTTTTCGTTAAAAGTAAATAGTACCAGAAGTGTTTCTTTAAAACTCTTCCCTTTTTTTTTTTTTTTTTCCTTCCTACTCTCCCTCGGAGACAGCTTAACATGACTTTCATTCTTTGGTATATCTCAGGGACTTTACTATCTCCAAATTTCATGTATCCTTTGGTCTCCTTTCTAATATTTTGGCACGTGTTTATCACCTTAATTCCAAACCAACATTGTTAAAATTTTCATAAAATTAATTATAATTATCAAAAAAATAAATATTTCCAAAAACCATAACATTTAGTGCCCAAATTTGGTGTGCCTAGCATTATTCAAGAAAAGATGGTGAATTTGGAAATTTCTTAAGGACTGTTGGAGAGAGATTATTGGAGGGCTATATATCACTTATGAAAAAAAAAAAAAACACTTTATGTGCTTCTTCCCATAGCATATATTTTTTTCGATAAGTGATTTCGGTCCTCCTGTGAGCACTCTGGAGTCTGAAAGAAGCACCTTATCGAGAGGACATTTACGTTGAATACTGTCACTGAGCTACAGTCACACAAAATTACTTGTTTCTTTGTCGACAAATAGAGATGGGGAGTACTAGACCAAATAGTCTTTGACCACATGCCCTAGGACTTCATATGAATTAAAAGGTTACATGAGTTAGTCAAGCCGAGTACCAAAGTGCTCAAGTTCAACTCAAATAATTGGGCCTGGGAAGCCTTTGGGATACCCTGACTTCAGTCAAAAAAAAAAAAAAAATTATTTGAGCTCATGCCCCGACCGAATGATATTCTCAAGCTCGAGTTTTGCTTCGATTAGCTCATTTGTGGAACGAACTTAAGCTAATAGTTGGCTCGATTCAACTCATTTAAAAGATGTGCATTCAAGAGAAATTTGTCATCAATTTGAAGTTTTTAAGTAAAAAAAAAATTTCAAGAAAACTAATGAAAAGTATACAAAAAAACTTTAGTTTTAATAAAAGATGACAAATAAATGCGTAAGTCAATAGTATCAAGAAAGGTAAAAATGTCATTTTTCGTTAAAAATGAACAGCACCGAAAGTGTTTTGTTAGAACTTCTAAAAATTTAACCATTACATATGAGTTAAAGCTTTAATGAATGAGTTAAAAATTTGAACCAAAGTGGGGGCATCTTGTATTGCCCACTTTATAAGCCGAATACACTAAAGGTTAAGCGCGACTCATTTTGTTAACAAACCTAGTGTTTGTTTGAGCTTGAGAGAAGTAAAGAACCGAAAAACTTATTAATAGAGGAGGTAAGAAATAAGAATCGGATCAATTCATCTTCCTCGTTGATCTGAATTCTAGTTTTCAAGTATTGAATTATAAATTATGTACGGAACTTACACTTGTTTATTTCGATATATGTTGGTGAACAGACAAGGATCATTTCCTGATCTTTTCCTTCTAATCCATCAAATTCAGAGATCCAGATCGTTGAAATTTGATTCAATGATTACAAACAATGGCTCACTTTAAAAGTTATAATAACTTTAACCGTTGTATCAAATTTTTACAACCCAAATTTCCAAACTTGATGAATTAGAAAGAAGGAATCCGAAGATGATATCTGTCTGTCGGTCGACAGAGCAAAAATAGAAGAGTACAATTTGCTTTAAAAGTCTGAATGATCATGGTAGCCTAGTACGTGTATAGCTTCTGCGTGGCAGCCAAGTCTCAAACACCCAAGCGTCAAAACAATAAACAAAAAAATTAAAGGGAACTTGCCACTTGCTAGCCTACTTGTCAACCAAGGCACAAGAAAAACAGAGCCCAAGGCCCAATGGGCCTCTAGCTTTCTAGGTATAAATACCATGTCCAACTCTTTCCCAACCGAGCGAAAAAGCAAACCAATAACGTCACACAGAACAGAGGAATCGATTAGGCAAACACTCACAGTCGCAGCCACACCCACAGCCGTAGAGGGAAACCAGCTCTCCGTCGCCGTCCTACATGTAAGTAGTTTTTCTCTACAATCGCCGCCTTTTTAGCTTTCTAAGGTTTCAAAGATCCCCAGTTTTTCTTCATTTTATCTCTTGCAAACGCGCCTTGATTTCAATTTGGGATGTATGCTAGGGTTTTATTTCCTGATTTCTAGGGTTTTTCTTTCTTCTTGAAGTTGTTGGATTGGGTTTGATTTCGTTTCGCATGTTTTTGCAGCAGACATCATGGCGGATGACAATCAGAATGAGGTGAAGGACGAGGTGGTAGCAGATGTAAGTTTCAGATTCTTGCAAATTGCTTTTCTTGCAGTAATATTTGAATTTCCACTCCCCGCCCCAATTTTGTAATACCTGTTAAGTTTGTATTTCAATCTATGTCTTTTCGCTTTCCTTTCCATTAGCGGTATGGTATATAATTTGATTCCTACCTCTTGCGTGTGTTAAGTTCGTTTTGGAATTTGAGATGGATGAATTGTTAATCCAAGGATTCTGATAACAAAAATGCTGTTCTTACCATCTATTTGTACCATCTCTAATAGAAATGGAACTCACGTGTGTTGGTGGGCTGTATCTCTATTTAGAGAGATGGTATAGATAGATGGTAAATGTAGCATTACTCTTCTGATGGTAAATCCGGCTTCGAGACCTTATTATTGAAGCTTGAATAAGCTTATGGCGTTGCGGGAAGTTAGATTAGTTTTACCCTTTTTTCCTTTGAAAGGTTCACCTAGAAATTTTATCAAAGTTTTCCTTTGGTAGCAACTAATTGTAGTATAGTACGTATGCTATCTATTTCCTTAATATAGTAATAGTAGAAGGACAGGTTGGAGTATTATATTAGAAGTCGAAAATGTAATGGTATGATAAATTTTCTGTTGGAGAGAAGCGGCTGTTGATATAATTCACAGCGCCCGTCTTCCATGAAGGGTGCCTTTAGTATAAGAATCCAATGGAAAGGAAAAGGTGCTGTTTCATCTAGAATTTGGTGGTACAGAATGGTAGAACTAATTATTGTGGTCTTCATCCTTTTTATTTTTTATTTTTATTTTTTTTTATTTTGCAGATTGCCCCCTTTGATCCTACTAAGAAGAAGAAAAAGAAGAAGGTTGTTATTCAGGATACTACTGATGATTCTGTGGAAAAGTTGGCTGAGAAAGCGGAAAGCTTGACAGGTGGTTCAATTGAACAACCATTTTTAGTTTGCGCTGTATTATTTTACAAGTACATTTGTTGAGACTTGTATGTTTTATCATTGCAGTTTCTGAGGGGCAGGAGAGTACATTTGCTGGTTTGAAAAAGAAGAAGAAGAAGCCAGTAATTTACCAAGATTTTCCATTGTTTACAAGCTGAATCATTTTTCTAGATATTGATTTTTGGTGGTTGCTGTGATTATAGGTTGAGACCAGTATCTTGAATGAAGAGAGTGGCGATGCAGTGGAAGATTTAAATGGTAAGACTTTTAGCTAATAATATTTTATTGGGCTAATAAAATGCCTGCCACCTCTCTGTCTCAAAAAAAAAAAAAAAAAAAAAAATTGATTGAGATTTTATATTTTTGGCCTTTTAGAGCGCACTGGTGAGGAAGAGGAAGGAGAAGGGATTGTTCTAGAGACTCCATCATATCCTTGGGAGGGGAGTGATCGTGACTACACTTATGAAGAGGTGTGTAAATTATATCATCTCCGTTACAGCTTTCTCATAGTACAGTTATAGTTCCTTGACCTTTATACATCTATGCTTTATTAATTTTACCTATGCAATGTATTCAGCTTCTTGACAGGGTGTTTAACATACTTCGCGAAAATAACCCGGATTTGGCTGGAGACAGGCGTAGGACAGTGATGAGGCCTCCACAAGTTCTTCGTGAGGGCACAAAGAAAACTGTTTTTGTGAATTTCATGGATCTATGCAAGACGTAGGTTTCAATTCCCTGAACCAAAACCATTGTTTCTCTATTTTGCTTTGATCTCTTTTGTTCTGTTTATTAAGATTATTGTGTATTAGAATCTCTTTCTGTTGGTTCTTTGAGTTTCTTTTTGTGCATCATTACATGAAGGAATGCTTTCTGTATACTGAAATGCATGCAGATGCTATTAATGTGTAGTTTTTTATTTATGAAAACTTCTGATGCTGTGTAGATATATGTTGCAGTTTATGTACTAATCTGAACATTGGTCTCTGAAACAATTAAGTGGCAAAGGACAGTTTGGCTTCTGTGGTTGCATTCCAACTATCGTTTATACAACTGCTTTGTGTTACTCATAATTAAATATTCTCACTGTTTGACACATGTGAAGGTGTTTATATGGACTGCACATAGGTATTTGATGAGCGTAATAGTATAAACATGAAAATCTTACCTACTATTTTACCAATTTATTTCCTAAAGCTACTGGTTGATTTCATCTGCTTTGTTAAATGAGTAAACCCTTCTACCTTGAAATTACAGGATGCATAGGCAGCCAGATCATGTCATGGCATTCTTGCTTGCCGAGCTGGGAACAAGTGGATCACTTGATGGGCAGCAGAGGTTGGTTGTTAAGGGAAGATTTGCACCAAAGAATTTTGAAGGAATACTGCGGCGATATGTCAGTAAGTACCTTGTTCTGTGGTTTGATTTATTTATTTTTTATTACAATGTTAATGTGGAGTGGTCCGATTGGAAATTATTTTGCAGTCTGCCTTGCTCGGTATGCATGCTTGGCTGTTATGTCTGTCATTTTGTATGTGCTCAGTTGTGTTTCACACATGTAATTATTTTCATTTGTACTCATGCTTCTTTTGTTTCAGATGAATATGTCATTTGCCTTGGGTGCAAAAGTCCAGACACTATACTTTCAAAGGAGAATCGCCTCTTCTTTCTCAGATGCGAGAAGGTAACAGTCATAATTAATTAATTTTTTTTTCTTTCTAAAGTTAATTGGCTATTGATTTTTTAATGTTAGTGGTTTTGACAAAGTGGCATCCCCCTGGTTTCTAATTTATAGAAAGTTGTTCTTGTACGACATAAAAAATAAATAAAGAAGGATTTAGGTGTTTATACACCGCTGCGTAATATCTTGTTGAAGAGGCCTATGATGATTAAAAAAATTGCCTACATTGTCAGATTATTTCATATGATAGAGTTACCTAAATTATTTCTGAGGCCTCACGGAAAAGTTTGATCTGTTTTTAAAGGGGTGGTGGGACTACACCCTTGGGTTTTGGGTGAAGTAATACTTTTCTTCTTCAGGAGATTTTCATTGTTCTCTTAGAATATATAGCTCTAAGTTCAAGTGCCCGTAGTTTCAACGTTGATCATTGGGATGTGCTACTGATCCTTCTGGTTTTAAAATTCTTGACTGGAGTTTATTTTGCCTTGCTTTCAGCTTATCATTTATTTGATTATTCTTTCTGCTGCAGTGTGGTTCTGGACGATCTGTCGCTCCAATTAAAGCTGGATTTATGGCTCGTGTTGGGAGAAGGAATGCCGGAACATAATCTTAGCCTGTTTCGACTCATTGTTTACTAGCAGTTGTTGAGTTTTGAGTCGCGTGTTTGCTCTCTACAACAGTAACAAGTTCTGTGACGTTCGGGTGTTGAGAATTTTTTTGCACTGTTTCACAGTTATATCTGTGTGTAGTGCTTACTGACCTTTTTAAAATGTAGCTTTTGCTGATGGTGCTTAATTGTTTGCTGTTTAGCAATAACTCGGATGTATGAAAGCTGCTTACATGTTTGCTGTTTTAGCAATAACTCCGATGCATTATCTGCTCAATTCTTTCTGCTCCATCTTTTGCCAGATTCATCTGCTTTCAACCGCCCCTTCTCCCTTCCACAAGTTTGATTCTGTAGCAGTCGAGCGTGGTAGTCAATTAAGTCCGTCTTAATTTGTTCTTTAAATTACGGAAATCCGGCGGAGAAATGAACGTCTCGTTACATCAAATCTAACGTGCGAACTCGGAGCATGCAAAACAAAGTGGTTCCATTTCTTTCCATGTTGGCATTTTAGCCTCTGGTGGGAAGCAACGAGCTGCTTTACCACCTAAGTTAGGGTGACATTGCCCTCCCTCTGTCGGATACCTTCTAAAACGGCACCTTTTCCTTGAACTTCAAAGTAGACGGACCCTCTTGCGTCAGATTTTTGAATTTCTTCAACATGGACCGGAGTGAAATTCGAAGGGTCACTCCCAAATGAGGGATGGCGGCATCTCACCATAAGCAGAGAGTGATCAAATTCGCAAGAAATTGCTGATCCGACTAAGAGCTAGTTGGTGGGATGTCACCTGTAAAGGGATATGATTTGGATCGGTTTCTTAATCCGTATTTGCATTTATTTACAGCTGGATTGCATATGTGGATTAGTCATTATTAAATCTAATTGAAGACATAATGAATCTAACTAAACACATAAAAAAGACTAAAATATCATTAGTAACTTCATTGTTCAATGTGTGTGTATATATATTATTTATTTATATATTCATCTATTTTTAATTTGAATATTTCATGTTGTATAAAAAGAGAACAGTATGAGAGTATATTTTGAATGCATAAAAAGTTTAACTCAAATTGACTTTCATTCATAATCAAATTAGTCATATTCATATCGTAATCGGAAGCTTCAATTCATATTCTATTAATTACATCGGATTCAGATCAAAATTCGATCGACTAACATGTACTTTGTTTTTTCCACAACCACCGGTAGGTCTAGGGATGTCCCTAATGTTGAACTTTGGCGGCTCTTTTGCGTCTATCTCCATGCGAAAAACTTAGCGGGATGAAAAGCTTTTCACATGAAGTTGGACATTGCTATGAAGGCCAACGTTGACCTTGATGCAACAAATGGTACGTACATCATCTTCTGATACACATTTATGCTACTGCTTTTGTAACCCATTGTCGAAATGGCAGCATTTTCCAACACTTCCCAGTTAAGGCCATTCATCAACTTACATGACCAATATTCTCTTACCATGTTCGTATCGCCAAACTACAGTCCTTACTTGTCTGTTCAACCGTGTGCTGCTGCTTCTTCTTCCTAAGAGAAAACTTCTGAACGATCGAACCATTTTATAACTATAGAGTTGGGGTTAGAAAATGAACCATAGACTAAGAGCCAAAAGCATGAATTATGTACATTGTTGACCAAAATAAAATAAAACAAAGCGTAGACAAAGTGAGAGACAACTATACATAACTATTTGGAACTAGTTATGTGTTTGAGATGATAAAAACAAGAGTGGCATTGGCTCATATATAGGTCATGGAAATTTCCCTTCTGCTCTTTTTGGTCATCTTATTTTGTTTACTCCTGCTGTCAATATGTGGACTTATTTATAGAAGGCTGGATAATATTATTCTCCTCCACATTCTTATTTTGCATATTATATTGCATTTTCCATGTTTTGCTAAAATTATATACAAATAACAAATGAACATTTTGTGATTTGTGGGGTTTTTCTCTGTGTGTGTGTGTATTTATAAGTTTAATGTTCTACATAGCAATATATATACATATGTGTATATATTATTGTCCATGAACATAGAAATTATATTAGTTTCTCTAAATATTGTCGTTTTTTTTTAAGTTTAAAGTGCATGTGCTACTAAATATGTATTTTACTGGTTCTCAAAAAAGAAAAATATTATTTTGTTGAGGATGCCTATGAAGACCTATGTCGACATCGTCAGAGATATTTGTCTTGTTTATGAAAGACTAATGAACTGTCTGAGGCTTCATCGTTGATCGATTAATGAAAATTTGATTTGAACCTCATTTTCTATATGTTTTGTTACATAATTAGTTCTCTTATTTTTTACTTAATTAATTAGGGCTCTTCATTGTTTTCTTTTCTTGAGATGAACAAATCATTTATACATACATACATACATACATACATACATACGTACATACATATATATGGGTGTAAAAGTCCAAACACTACTTTAAAAGCAAAATTTTCTCTTCCTTCTCATTTGCGTCGGTTTTTTTCATATAAATAGGAGGAAGAACTAACTCTGAATCTCGCCTAATATTAAGAAATGAAGTACCACTAAAGTAAACTCTAAATCTCATCGAGTGAGAAATACAATTTGAACATCAAGCACAATAAAGTTTTATGGGTTTTGCTATTTGATCATTAATCCCGATTATATTACAAGAATTGAAATAAGTAGAAATGAAAAAGAGACTTTGAGGCATATGCAGAAGTAATTGTCTGTTGGTCATTATGGAGATGGCCTGACTCTATCTCCATATGCATGCATGCAAGGGAAAAGCCCCTCACATGAAGTTGGGCGCTATGAAGGCCAAGGTTGAGAGTGATGCAACAAATGGTACGTACATCTTTTGCAACACCTTGATGCCACTGCTTTTGTAATCCACTGTCGAAATAGCTGCATTTTCCAACGGTTCCCAATTAATAATGTTCTTTTACTGTATTATATTGTCACACTGTAAATCCGGAGCTGAATGTTTAAGGTATAAATTAATCTGATTTATGGTATAAATAAACATTCTGGTAAGAGAACTTTTCCATCTCTCTTGATATACCGTTGTGTTAATATATAGCTAGGGAAGAGTACCTGTATTATTTTTCTTACATGTGTTGAGAACATGCACAGTGGCATTGTTATGAAACCAGAAGTCTTCTTTGCAGAGGTAGATACATTTAAGCACATCCAAGGCGTGGGCGGAGCAGCCTGAGCTGCAGTATTCTCCGGTCTCATTTGCGGGCACCTCCACGATTCCTGAGAATGTCAGCTGCCCCTATGGCGAGCAATGAGAAGGTGCCTAATATTAAAAACACAACACCCATCAAACACTTCAAATTTCTTCTTCTAGATTGGTTCATTTAGGTCATAATATATTAATTTTAAGTCAAAGTTGCAAAAGTTAAATCACAAGCTCAAAAACAATTAAACCAGCCAGAAAGACAGAAAAATGTTGCTCAAAAAATAATTGGTCAAGTCATTGAATTTCCACAATTCGAAAGGTTTTTCCGACTTGAACTGAATTTCATATATATATTCAGTGCCACCTATGTATGTACTGCGAAATATATGATTATTTGCTAAACATAACATGTTATATTGTCAATTCAGTTTCTAAATTCATCATGTTGGATAAAAATACTTTATTGGTTATTATAAATAGATGTGTTTTTATCTCTACCATTGATATCGGATTTAAGGGTGGCTGACTATGGATTATTGGTAACCAGGGGATCGAAAGAACAAGATTTTTATGTCCGATACATGTAACAAGTAAAACTTAGAATGGACACACGCGCACGAATGTATGTGTGTACGTGGGCTTATCTGTTAGTGCAATAGTAAGCACTTTTCCAAGCCCAAATTGGACTTGGATTTACATTGTCAGTAGTTGTCAGTAGGGTCTGTTTTACCTGAAAATTAAACCAAACATATCATCAGTACAAATAATTCACTCTTTGCCTTTTGCATGTATGCAATCTTCACTCCAAATATAAATTATAAACAACTCTTTCACAATTTTCTGTATCAGATCATATATAAAATAACGATGAAATAGGAGAGAATACATACTGAAGGCCTGAGCATATTGAAACAGAAGGAAGATCGCCAAAGAAAACCAAACCAACTTAATTCTTCCCCCAGTTTCCATCACTTAACAAACCGCGTGCATCTTCTTCCTCCAAAAAATTATTTGGGTTGAGTCTAAGAGAAAATTTATGTACTACTGAAACATTTATAACATGAACGAGTCGTTGATTTATGCATTATAATTAGAGCTGAAAATTGAATCATTGACAAAGAATCAAGTGAATGATGTGAATTGATCATGTCGCCTTCAGTATATGCTGAGGACATATTTAGCAATATTGAAATTGGTCTAACCAAGGATAATAAAACAAAGTGTAAATTTCAGTAGACAAAATAAGACAACTAGCTACTTTGGCACTCTGTTTGTGTTGATAAAAACAAGAGTGATATCATAGTTGGGCTACAGAAGGATGGACACTATTCGTCTCCTCTATTTTATAATTTCTTGTTCTCACATGTATTTGTCAAGATCTCATATGGAAGGGTCAGCAGGTTTCACTACTAACCACACTAATATTATGTACTAACTTTCATTCATCTTATCATGTACAACATAGCAAGGGTGGGAGTTTTATAAGTAGAGGACTCGGTGTAATTAAATCATTCGTTATATATTGTATTTTATTTTGTCAATCTTTCAATGTGAGGTTCTCGTATTCTTTTAACACCTGAATTTTTTTTTTGTTTTTATATTCACTCCTATGATTATAACAACTATTAAATCAATGTCAATAAAATTTGTGAATTATATTCATCTCAATTGTCCCATTCTAATTGAAACTTTATGAACTTTCGTTATTTGACTTTTTTTTTTTTGGACGAAAGCTCATTTCATAAAAAGCCCAAAACAGGCAACAGCATATACAAGAGAGGCCGACAAAAAGCCGAACAAAAAGCACAAATTACACAGGATAGTGATGCCGATTCAAACTAGGAAACATGAAAGTCTACCTAGAAACAGACAAACACTTTCAGCACCCTAATGGTGACCAAAAGAAGGGGAGGTTGATGGAACTTAGCTATCAGACTTCAGCCAAAAAAAAAAAAAGCCTACGTAGTGCATGGGAACCCGTCAAGAGAGAGAACCAAGACCAGTGAGGGAGGAGGCGTAGCTGCCCAGGAGAGATTGCACACCCTCGAATCGCCATGCGAGTAGCTTGATTCAGAACGGGGACTCCAGCTCTATTC